CAGTAAGGTGGGGCCTCGTAAGCTCCCTGGCAGTTGTCAAGCCGTACCCGTCGCGTTTCGAAAGGGAGCCCTCAATCGACGCGTCTACACGCACCGTGCCACCGGCTCTCCACAACTGCTACCGTGGACATCAAGCTCCTCGACTCGATCTGCGGCTACGACGGCGCTCTAGCTGCTGGCTCTCGCGGGTGTCTGGCGACCCGCTCAGGCTTGCGAAACGGCCGGCCGCGGCGACGTGTTTCGAGCTCGCTGGCCTTCTCCGCGCGGCTGGGCCCGCCCCTAGTCGGGGCAGACCCGCCCAGTCACTGGGCAGCGCGTGCGCCGTCATCCTGGACGACGGTGTGCCGATGCATCCGGGAGGCTCCGCGGGGCTGCTATAGCAGCCTCGGGAGGGTCGAAAATCGAAGCCGGAGCGGCGGACCACGGAAGCTCCACGGACGGTGAGGCGGGCTGTGGTTGGCCCCCCCCTGACCGGGTGAGGGAGTGGCGCCCCGGGAGTGCCGCTCCGGCGACGTCTGTGGCCTCCAAGGTACCGTGACCGCGGTGCTGGCTCTCGCGGGTGTCTGGCGACCCGCTCGAGACGAAAACTGGAGCGGACGGTGCGACGAACCGCGAGTGGGATGGTCTTCTCCGCGCGGCTGGGCCCGCCCCTAGTCGGGGCAGACCCGCCCAGTCACTGGGCAGCGCGTGCGCCGGCGTTCTGGACGACGGTGTGCTGGTACATCCGGGAGGCTCCGCGGGGCTGCTCTAGCAGCCTCGGGAGGGTCGAAAATCGAAGCCGAAGCGGCGGACCACGGAAGCTCCACGGACGGTGAGGCGGGCTGTGGTTGGCCCCCCCTGACCGGGTGAGGGAGTGGCGCCCCGGGAGTGCCGCTCCGGCGACGTCTGTGGCCTCCACGGTACCGTGACCGCGCCGGCCTCGCTCGGGAGGCTCTAACGGAGCCGTCGGCCTCCGAAACCGTCGCGTTGCTGCGCCTGGACGGCTTCGATGCTCGCCAAACCCGTCGGCACCGTTCATATACACATGAATTGTGAACGAACGCGCATTTTTCTGATACTTTACTCGCATATGCCGAAATGTTAGTTTCGATCTAGTCCTCACGGACACAAAACAGAGGCCTCCTAGCACGGAGAAGCGACTAAGAGTCGCCGACGTGCGAGTAAAGTGTCAGAAAAATACGCCCGGAATCACAATTGATCCCGTCGACAAGGCGCCCCAATCGCGGAGGTCTGGCGCGGGCGTGGAGGCGAGCATCGACGCCTCGACGGTTGCTCTTCAGAGGCCGAAAACAGGCGCCTGAAAAAGGAGAGAACGCGAGACTGATCACGCGCGCGGAAAAGCCCGAGGGGCGAATCTAAAGTGCCGAGGCGCTTGCTAATCACCCCAGCTAGGGCCACGGAGGCGCTCGCGGCAGGTCTCCGCGCGCGCGCTGGCCGGTGGCAGCTGATCTCGGGCGGCGGGCGGCGGGAATGGGCTCGGGCGGCACCTTTTGCCCTCAAAAGTCGTTCGAGAGTACCGGGTCGCGGCGGGAACGCGCTTATCCGCTCGATGGGTGTCAGGAGTCGATCGCCTGCGCCACGAGCGAGCACGGGAGTCGTCGCGATGGGAGTCGTAGCGGCGTGGCGCTGGGCTTCGAGAGAGCGACGTGGGCGCGGCGGCGCGGGCGGCCGGTGGGGCGCGTGAGGTCCGCACCTTCGCGACGGGCAGGCTCGATACGGCCGCTGGCCGGGGCGGCCGCTCGACCGGCCGCCGCGGTCGTTCCGGCGGCGGCGTCGGCGTCGGCGTCGCGAGCGAACTGGCTCGCATTCGACGAGCGACCCTCTTCACAGAACCCGGACTGCCACCTTAAAAGGTCTTTGCAACTTGGAAAAAACACGCTGCGCCGTAGTGGTGCTGTTGCCTATGCACCGATAGCTGCTATCGTCGCGAACGCTGCCAAGCGCCACGGTACCTCCACGTTGCGCTGGCCATGCTGACCTTTGGCACTCTCGCCGCCGGGCGCACCTGCCCTGCTGCCGCGGAGGGGTCGCTCGACTGCCTCTCCGCCCGCGTCGACAACAGCTGGATCGACCAGCTCGAACCGGACCCGGAGGCACGGCCGCCAAACAAGCAGGCCCGGGAGGTGCACTCGGGCCACTACGTCATCGTCAAGCCCACTCCACTGCCGCGGCCGTACCTCATCGCATGCAGCCCGGCGGTCCTCGAGCTACTGGAGATCGCGGCCGGCGAGTGCACACCCGACACGCCGTTCGTGCGGCTATTTGCGGGCGATGTCGACGCGGTGGCCGGCTTTGAGCAGACCTGGGCGACGCCTTACGCGCTCTCCATCTACGGCTCGGAGGTTCAGCCCAACGGGGCCGGCCCAACGGGCAACGGGTATGGCGACGGCCGCGCTGTCTCGATCGCCGAGGTCCTCACCTCTGCGGGCGCGCGGTGGGAGCTGCAGCTCAAGGGCGCCGGCAAGACGCCCTTCTGCCGCAACGCGGACGGGCGCGCGGTGCTTCGCTCCTCGGTTCGCGAGTACCTGGCGTCGGAGGCGATGCACCACATGGGCGTTGCGACGACGCGCGCTCTCTCACTCGTCGGGTCGGCCGACGAGACGGTGC